CAATGTGCAATATGCACACTTCGAAGTCACGCGCCCTACGAAGTCATGCGTCAACACTCTTAGTGATATAGTGCACTTCCTGCGGGCCTTTTAAGTCTGGAAACGGAACAATCGATTCGATCAGTAGTTCTAACTTAATACTAAGCCAAGACTTGCTTCTTTATTTTTGAAAATTCACGAAAACTGAAAATAACGTCGGTAGCCATAAAATGGCGGAAATCGATGCTTCGGGTAGAGGCAAGTGAACTTTGTTCATGAAAAGCGTAAAAGAAAACAAGCTCTTACCAACTTGATAAATTTGTATCAGCAGGATTGAAGTATGGTTTAAGTCAAAAACAGGACCATTTTATTTAATTTGGAACCCATGGCATGCTTTCGTAAACCACCAATATTTCAAAATTAGAAAATCGCATTTCGTAGCAAATTTTCAATTAATTGCCCTATAACTCACAATAGGTTTAGGTTAAGCTCATGATAAATGGAAATAGTGCTATTTTCGAGGATGTGAAAACAGTACAGTAGACTAACCTTGAAAACCTAACAATGGTAGATTGGTTTTCATCTCTGCTTTCGTTTCAGATCCTCAATGGTTACCCCGGTGAAATTGTTTACATCGTGCATTCCATAATCGGGACGCTGAAGACGGGCAGCAATCTGACACTAGTGTAGATGTATCACACGCAAGCGATTGCCACGCAAAGTTAAACTTTTTGCTAATCAAAATAAGACATTTACTTGTTCGCCTCTTACGGTTCTTCCGACCACGAAAATCACGGACTGATACAAATCCGTATATAACACTTTTAACAAATTTGTTTATATATTATAGAATATGTTACCTTGAGAGAGCTCCTACACAGAAGTGGGGAGATACAACTGTAGTACCCACTCCCCCTACCCACAACCAGGGGGGTTGAAAACCCCTATGGTAAATAGTAATAACGGAAAAATCATTTGACTCTATCGTGAGTGACCAGTAGGTCAACAGCTCTTCGCCGATGACGTTGAAGACGGGCTCCAATCTGATGCTTGTATAGATGTAACACTCAAACGTTTACGTATGATGCACGATCCTCGCAGTAGAMAGCGCTATTTATGCAATAGCGAAAATCAGACCTGAAAAAAATCAGGCCTGTACGGGATTCGAACCACCGACCTCTGCGATACTAGTGCAGCGCTCTACCAATTGAGCTAACAAGCCAACTGGGAGCAGGCCGTTAAGTTGATTCGTAATAAACTCGTGATGATAAATCAGATCCAATGAATATACGTTTGTTACGCAAGGCTAAACGTATTGCAATCACGATATTGTGCACTTTTTTTAATTGGCCGTAATAATACAGAATAAGTGAATAAGACTGAATTCACTGAAAAACAGATACATCACAAGTACTGAAAGCTCTAAACTATGTCTGAAAATTTTTATTTTAAATATTTTTTCTTATCAGTTAGAAATTGGTGTGAGACTCGTTAACTTCGCAAAGGCGATCTCTCACAGTCGTACTGATGCCGTTGGACATACTAGTGACATTACTTGGAAGAGCCACCAAGCAGAATACGAAACAAACAAAAAAATTGGAAAGGAAAGAGAGAAAAAAATAAAAAAAAAGGAAGATTAGATTGCGGAACGTGTTATTGTGAACAATTTCCCCAGCTAGGGGATATGGATGAGAATTCGAAACGAAAGTAGGGATAAAATCAGGTTCGCACTACGTGTATCTGTCTAGTGCTAAATGTAATTAACATATCATCAGATATTGCATTGAACTTTAAGTTTATTTGGTAGGTAAGCTGATTAGATATAAATGTGTGCATAGGTGTACCGATGTGCAGTAGTTTTCAAGGACGTTGTTTGATAGTCCATTTTACAAATAGTCTAAGAGTTCCGAGTTTTCTAAGCAAATTGATCCACCGGATGGTTCCTCAACAATAAGAAGCAAAACTACACACTACTGAACATAATTTTTCATGTATTTAAAAACAGTGTCTTATTAGATTATGTCGC